AGAGAGAGAGAGAGAGAGAGAGAGAGAGAGAGAGAGAGAGAGAGAGAGACATAGAGAGACATTTCATCATGGTTGGCATTCGAACTCTCCCTGTCGTGTGAATGACAATAAAACAAAACAAAATTAAATACAATACAATAAAATTAAATAAAGAGGACCATCACGGTCCAACAACAAATGAAGCAACGTCTACTTCGTGGATGGGGCAGACGACCATCAACGTCCCCAAGGGTTTGGTCGTGGACGTCCGTGGACGCGCGTGTGATGCCACACGTTCGTAATGAGGCTCTCGCGCAATTCCTTCCCCAAATCCAGAGCACATGCGGGGTCCTCTTCCGGTGGAGGTTGGACTGGAGCCGGATGGTTCTGTCTGCGAGGCCATCGACTCTCCGCATCGGATCCATCATTGTCACTTTCATCAGAAAGCAGGTCGGGATCCATATGCACCCTTGCGTCCACCATAATGTTGTGGAATATGCAGATCGCTAAAAACTCTTTGCAAATTGTTTTCATGTTACCAATCTGCCTCCTGATGATGTTACGCCACACAACCTTCAGCATGTCGAATGTGCACTCTATGCACGACCTCGTAGAGGTGTGGCAGTCATCGTACACTGCTTCAGCCGCAGTTCTGATGTCGCCCTTGACCGGAGTCATGATCCAAGGCAATGTGGGATACCCCGCATCCCCGAACAGATACCTGCCAATCGCTTTTCCATCCCGAAGCAATTCCCCGCCCGTACCGAAAACTCCCTCCTCTTGCTGCACCCGCCTGTAAAGTGGAGACATTCTGAGCAACCGACCATCATGAACTGAACCCGGCACACCCACGTACACACTCACAATCTTGCATTCGTGGTCGCATACCACTTGTGCCACAATAGAGAATCGTCCGTTCCGATGATAGAAACACTCCCCCCTGAGGTTTCTCAGCTTCTCCAAGTACATGTGGGTGCAATCAATCACTCCCACACACCCGGGGAAGCCTTTGCGATCGAAAGCGTCCATCGTCTCTTGGAGCTTCTGGTCTGTAGGAAACCACAGCAGATGCCCGTACTCCCTGATGAGTCTCATCTGCAACATCCTCATTGCTCTGAAGAGCAGTGGCCAAACCCAATTTGAGGGAGTGGGCAGACTGTCTATAGTAACCGCCTGTCACCCATCCCAAAAGCGTGCATGTGAACTTCTGCGCTGCCGGCACAGGCTGTCTCCAGTTCGTAGACTGACGTTGGATGTGTGGAGCGATGCGCTCGAGGACTTCATGAAACAGCGGTCGAGGAAGCCTGCAAAGTTTCGAAAAACTTTCTCGTGCCTGCTTCCCTCTCTCTGAAGATCCTTCCACACCCCGCCACTACGTTCCAACACCCAAACCCGGTGCCAAGCATCCATACGCCGAACGAAAGTACACACAACCATATCCGCCACTGCCAGCCCATGCATCACCGCGCTCGTGAGAAGCAACAGGGCCGACGACATGCTGGGCACACATGCTGGCAAGGCAGTGGCCGCTTGCAGGACAGCCATCGTCGCAAAGTTCCTTTGGTTCATCCACTTCAGAAGGGTGAAGACCATGAGGAATGTGGAGTCCTCCCAATCGTCGCCGCTGGTTGTCACGGGGACGACAACCACGATGAAAATCGTGCAGTCATCACAACCCAGAAGAACTTGACGACTTCCCTGTCACCACCATGCGCAACCAAATCCCACGTTCAATCATAGAGGGTGGGAAACGGCGATGGGAATGCGAGCGAGAGAACACCGTCGCCGTTCACGGGCAACCGTTGTCCAGCGTCAGGAACCCCAGATGTATCGGTTGGCTGCCAACGGTCACTTCAACTGTGCACTACCAGGGCCGGTTTCCGCATCAATGGAACTTGAGACCCCCACAGGCCTTCGAACCCGGTGCGATGTATCGGTTGGCTGCCAACGGTCACTTCAACTGTGCACTACCAGGGCCGGTTTCCGCATCAATGGAACTTGACACCCCCACAGGGCTTCGAACCCGTTTCGTGCCGCACCGGGTCCCGCACGTGCCGCCCGGCGTCACCCACATCCACGGGCACGTCCATTTCCTGAGGTCCAGCCTCGACCTCCCGAACAACAACAACTTTCCTTTTTCGGACATCACCCATGAAACTTTCCCTTTACGGAAAAAAAAAACTGCTTCACCTCAAAAGGCACTCCGCCGTGGGGTCCCGGAAAAACACTTTTCCAACTTTCCAAAAAAAACTTGCCCGCTTTTTGTGGCCACACGTCTTTTCCAGCCGCAGCGCAGTGGGGTCCAGGCCTTAGGATATGTGCTCCCTGATTTGCTTGTTTGCTAGGTTGGTCTGGCCCTGAACTCGTGTCCTGATTGTTGCACCGGGGTTGAATTGTGAGGTCCCCGGCCTCCCCCTCTAACAATAATGCATAATGATGAGATTAAAAAAAAAAAGAAAAACATACTCTATCTACAGTCACCACAGAAACCATGTGAGTGAGAATGATGAGTATGAAGAGTGTTAGAAGTGTACGCTATTTTAGTGGGCCAGTTAGAAGCACATCTTTCGGTTTGTTGCAGACTTCTTGCCTTTTTTTTTTCCTTGCTTTCTTCCTTTGTGGGACTCAGCGATTCCTGATATGGGCTTGGCCGGTGATGCCTCGCTCATAACCGGGAGCCGCCAGCATACATGTGAGGGACGCCGGGCCCGTTTCCCGGCTTGTATAATATGACTCTTTTTCTTGTTAAAAAAAAAAAAAAAAAAAAGGGAAACCATGTGAGTACACAAAAAGCACTATGGACTCTATGGAGTTTGACCACCGTGAGGAGGGGCATGGGACAAACAAATTTTCCTCTTGGACAATCGGCTGCCGTGAATTCCCCATGCGTGCAAAGAGAGAGATGAATTGTGGCGAAGACGTATTCTCGCGAAAACGCGAGTAGGTACCGGCTTGGTGGCCAAGCGGGGAGCCTGGATACCGGGCTGGTAAGATTGAATGCTCATTGACAGGTCAAGGGCTCAAATCCCGCGTGGCCTGCGCGTAGTGAAGAAAGAAGGATGTAAAATGAACGCCACGCAAGCAGGATGTAAAATGAACGCCACGCATCTGCTTGGTGGCCAAGCAGGTAACCTGGATACCGGACGGGTAAGATTGATTGCTCATTGACAGGTCAAGGGCTCGAACCCCGCCCTGCGTGCGCATCGTGAAGAAGAAGGATGTGAAATGAGCGCCACGCATCTGTTCCACTGCGGATAAGGGTGGCGGCACTGGCGGGAACTTATCGAGAAGTGGTTTCGGGGAGGAAAAAATGCCAGGGCGATTGGCGGTAAAGGTCCTGCTTCGCGCTTCACGTGAGTACCACCTATCTCCACGCTATGGATGCATAAATATTAAAATTAATATATAAATGTATAATATAAATAAAAATAAATATACACCCACATTGCAAAGCATGCTACCTACGGTAGTGACTGCTTGGCCGACTCGGAACGAGAGCGCCAAATCAGATACCGAAGGCCGACAGCCCCGCGCGCAGCGCGACGGCCTCAGGCAGATCTTTACCAGGGAGTGGCTCTGCTCCGCTGTCCCACGGTGAGAGTGTTTCCGCTGTCCGTTCCTCGCCTTTTGTTGTCCATTCGCTTCTTCCCGATCTCTCCCGCCCCACTGGCCCTTCTTCCCCCTCTCCCCCCCCATTCCGCCCCGGCCCTCGCCCCCCGCCCTTTCCCTCTGTACCGTCCTTGGAAGCATCCTTGCCCTGCAATCCACTCCTTCGATCCATTCTCCGCTCTTCCTCCCTTTGTGCCATCCCCTGTCCAATCTTCTATCTCCTGCATCGCTTCCCGCTCGATTGAACATGTACTCTGTGTGTGTGTGTGTGTGTGTGTGTGTGTGTGTGTGTTATATCATATTCGCTATAGACTGACAATGCATGATTGTGCCCGACTGTTTGGTCGGACTTTCACCGGCTCATCAGGAGGTCGAACCCCGACAGTCTGCCGAGAATGCATTTGACTGATGGATAAGGAAGCACTCACCACATCGCCCCGAGTTAGCGATACCCATCCCTGAGAGAGAAAAGTGGTCGACTTTACTCATTCAACCTTGCAATCCCAGCAGACTGCCGATCCAAACCCCGGACAATGTGTGTGTGTGTGTGTGTGTGTGTGTTGTTTAAAAAGACCACAGATTCTCTCTCTCATTCTCTTCACAAATCATCACAAGCCATCCATAACGAAAAAGGATAGATAGGCAATATAATAGAAAATGCAAGGTTGGCCACGTTTGTGTGGTTCAGCGCCAAGTGTAAGAGTGTGTGCGTGTGTGTGTGTGTGTGTGTGTGTGTGTGTGTGTGTGTGTGTGTGAGAGAGAGAGAGAGAGAGAGAGAGAGAGAGAGAGAGAGAGAGANGAGAGAGAGAGAGAGAGAGAGAGAGAGAGAGAGAGAGAGAGAGAGAGAGAGAGAGAGAGAGAGAGATGTGTGTGTTCGTGTACAACTCCAAAAAAAAGCATGGCTGTGCCAGACTGTTGCGTCGGACTTTCACCGACTCATCAGGATATTTTGTGGGTGTGTGTGCGTGTTTAAGGGCGGGGAGGAGAGGGGGGGAGGGGGGGGTCGGAGGGTTATGTGCATTGGATGCAACTGCAGAGAAAAGCAGCCGCTCGAAGTTTCACCGAACTTAAGGTCCGATGGGGATATATCTGGACGTCTGGAGTTCGTGATTCAGATCACATCCGTCACACGGACCTGACAGCGGCGGCTATGTTATAACAGGACTGAAAAAAAAAAGAAGGGGCACTCCATACAACAAGGGGGGTTCAGCAAGGGGGATGGACGTGGCTCAGCCCCCCTCCTCGGGCATGCCCAATCCGTCCAGGCTGTCGTGGCGCTGTCAGTCTGTTTTGACTGCAGTACCGGTAGCCCCCTGTCTACGAGCATCTTGGGTTTGGGGCTTGGGGGGGCGGAAGGTGGGGGGCATGCCATGTGTTGATTTTGTTGATGTTGGTGTTTCGATCCAGCATTTTTTTGGGATAATTATTTTGGGATAATTAAATCACAATTTGTGTGTCTCCTCTGTAAATCGTCCCATCTGTTGCTTTCATCGCCTCATCCAAACTACTGCAACTCATACAAAACCGACTCCATTTGTGTGTTGTCTCCTTCTGTTTTCTTTTGTCCATTGCTTTTTTTTTTTTTTTTTTAAAGGGGTTCAGCCCCTAACATTATTGTCATTTATTGTACCCAGCAGGGTTCGAACTCATAACCTGACCCTCTACAACAGCTACATGTGTGTAGCATTCAGCCAGAGCGACTGAGGTTGTCTCCTCCTTCCCTACGCTTCATATGCATTCACTTCCTTGCCCTATTACTGTATATGTCATGGGCCTCACGGCTCAACCTTGAGATTTGTTTCTTACACACACACACACACACACACACACACACACACACACACACACACACACACACACACACACACACACATACCCACACACACACTGGAGAGAATCTGGGGTTTCTGAAAACAACAACACACATTTGGGTGTCTTGCTAGCTCGCTGTCCTGGCAGATTTGAGGGGTTAGGATAGGGCTCGTACTACCGGTAGCGAGATATTCTGTTTTTGTGGTTCGATATGGTTGGATGTTTTTTGTTTACTATACACGGCGTAATTCTTTGCCCTGCTTTAGAGCATGGGCTTTTTACTGAAGGAATGTCTGTGGGTGGCCACGAGGTTTTTGGGGTGGGAATGTATGTTTGGAGTTTTGGCCAGAGTATATTGGCGAGGACGCTCAGAGAGTGTTCGCTGTGGGGGGGTGTCATTCCCACGGGCTGCTTTTTTGGAGCTCGTGGAAGAAATGGGCGCTTCGAGGGAGGGTGTTTTAAGCAGCAGCGCTCCTGCTGTTGCGTGAAGATCTTGTGGTCCTTGGGATTATGTTACTCTATACACTCCAGGGATAGTCAGCAAAGTGAAAAGGGGGTTTGTGTAGCCATGGAGTGATAGAGATGGTGGTGATGTGAGTGAGTTGTTTGGGATGAGTGGCAGTGTCAATGCTGTGATTTTGTAATTAATTTTGTGGTTTTGTGGGCCGACGATTCGAAGGGCTCTCCAAGTTTTCTTGGACCTTTGGGGGTTGGGGTCGGTGCTTTCTTGCTCGTGGAGTCGTTTGTTTTAGGTGAATTGCCTTTGCCCTCCGTCCCTTCTCATGGACTATGAAATATAAGTGTATAATATTGTATATGTAGTCAAACAGAGCTGCCCGGTAAACCGTAGGGGCAGAGAGGGAGGGAGAAGAGGACAACAAACGAGGGGCTGTGACAAACTGTTTCGTCGGAGTTTCACCAACAGACTCATCAGGAGGCTGAATATATGTATATGTGCAAGTGTGCCGCTTCGGTGGCAGACGGGTGTGTGTGCACTTGGCGCTGAACCACACAAACATGGCCAACCCTGCAGTTTTTACTATCTTGCTTATCTATACTTTCTTTGTTTATGGATTGTTTATGATGATTCGGGGATGGAATGAGAAAGAGAATTTGGGGGGTTGTTTTAAAAAACACACTCTTAACCTCCTTGTGAGTTGCTGAAAGTCTGACGAAACAGTATAGCGCAGTCATGCTTTTTTCGTGGAGTTGTGTAGTCCGAACAACACAGAACGGCCTTGCTGGCTGTCTGTCCGTTTATGCAGATCAATGTGGCTAGCATCGGGACCGTACTGGCTGTCATGCCAGTGGGTAAACCAGGACCGAGTGGTGTGTGTAGAGTGGCTTTTATGGCTGTGACAGATTAGTTTCTCAGACTCACTATCGTTCTTGTCAGGGGGGGTGGACCGACAGTCTGCTAGGATTGCAGGGTTGGTGTGGGTAAAGTGGGGACCACTTTTCTCACAGGTAGCACTAACTCTGGGCAACCTGGTGAGTCATTGTCCATCTGTCCATTGCATCCTGGGCAGACTGTCAAAGTTCAACTTCCTGATCAGTCGGTGACAATCCGAAGAAACAGTTTGGCACAGTCATGCTTTTCTTCGTAGACCCTCCTATTGCGGACATGACAACTCACTCTGTGTGTGTGTGT